TCACAGGACCTGGGCTAAGACTGCTATTTTCTATATAATTTAAAACTCTGAAAATGTTTTTAAATAATTTTACAATGTGTAATGTAGTGTAAATTTAGAGGAGGCCTTCCTTAGAGATGATAAACCAAATATTTTAAAAGGTTCATTACATTTATTTTAAGTGGAACTCAGTCCTGGATTCTTTTGGATTTATTCGTTTTGCATTTATACTCTACACAGTGCTTAGTGCAGTGCTCTGCAATGGGGACACAACATTAAATGAGAAGAAGGCCTGTCTCCAGGGGCTGCTGATCTTGTCGCAGGATTTATCATTCTAACAGTATTAAGTTCACCTAAAGAGGGGCCGGCCAGATAGCTCAGTGGATTAAAGCACCTGCTTAGGCAGACGCAAGGCCTGGGGTTTGATCCCCGGCCTGCAGTGCCGGCTCCGTCCCTGGTGCATCCTGAGACAGGGATTGAGACTGGGCATGGTGGTGTGCACCTGTAATCCCAGTACTTGAGAGGCTGCAAAACAGGAAGGATCACTACAAGTCTGATCTGTGTAGTGAGACCCTGTAGACCCTGTACTAAATACATTTAAAAAATCATCTAAAGAAACATATACAAAATACAGAGTTTCAAACAACAAAGAATAATTTAATGTGGTGGTAAGAGAAATTTTCAATGAGGTGAGACATCTTTTCATTCAAAAACTGTACAAATTTTTAATAGCTGAAAAAGATGGAGAAGCTGACCAGGGCAGTGATGACTGCATGCCTAAAGATATTGAAGCATAAAACATAGATTGTCCAACTTGCTACTTTTGTGTTTTGCATCCAAAATTTAAATATTTGAGACTTAACGTTTGGTGCTATCTATGTAGAAAGAAATTCTGGGCTTCTATTTTTAGGGCCTTTATTCTTCACAGCCTACAAAGAAATAATTGTTGTATATTTCATTGACTAGAGGCAATATTACAGTTAATTTCTTTCTGTCGCCTTTACAGAACTGGGTAAATATAGAATTCATTCTAGAAATATATAAATATGGGCCTGGGGTCACAGTCAGTGGTAAAGTACTTGCCTGGTGTGTGTGAGGCCTTGAGTTCAGTGATCAGCCCCCCCCCAAAAAAAAAGAAAGAAAAAGAAATATGCAAATATATATAAATAGGATGCATGTCCCCTTGCTTTTCTTGTTCTTTCAAATACCTGAATTCCTCCTGATTATCAGTGACCATTGTGAATGTTCCAATAACCCGTGTCACTTCCTCACACTGCCAACCTTTGATGAACGTAGTGTTCTGTGCCAGCCTTTGGAAATGCAAGAGCTGAGGCTTGTACAGAGCAAGTGACGTACTAGGACTGCTTTGGATCAATATATTTTCATGATACATAATAATTACATCATCTCGGGGGTGGCTATGCATACAAATCACGCGTTGATCATTTTTCCTCCGTCTTCTCCTCCCCTCTCTTCCTGTCTCCGTTGTCCCCAGCTCCCCTTCCACCTCCCTGCTTCCTGTTACCTTCCTTTTATTTTATTATTTCTATTTTGTGTTTGCCATATTTAACCTTGTGTGTCTGATTTATTTCACCTAGCATTATGATGTCACTTCACGTTCTCAATTCAAGAACTGTGCTCTTTGGTCTGGCTTAAACTGCCCTTATTACACGAATGAGTTATGTTTTGAGGCTCTTATGGCGCATCATGTTAATGGTCTAATTCTGAATTCTTTGATAATTTGGGTCACATCCCTTGTTGTTAGAATATCAAGCACAGTATTGCATCCTTTTTCATTAATTGTGTGGTTGTAGTATAGAAATTTTTTTCCTGTTTAGTTGTTAGAAAAATATCAAGGTTAAACTCTTTAATATGGTTTCTATAATTATTTTTTTTCTGCTGAAATAATAGCTGTTTGTCCCTTTTAGAAACATACAGAAAATGGTAGAGTTAGGGGACTCATTTATGCTTGTCCTACAACTGTTGTGTTCTAAGGAAAAATAATTCCCAGTGTTTAGTTAGTGCCTGTTAGAGTTTATTAGCCACGTGTCACCATAGTTAATGTCAGATTAGTGGATGTTATTTCACAAGTGTTTTAAGAGTTGAAATTAAAAATAATAAACTTTTAAAAATATGTGGTAGTGGGCTGGGGAGATAGCTTGGCTGTCTAAGTGCCTGCCTGGCAAGTGCAAGGACCCAGGTTTGATCTCCAGTATCACATGCCATGCCTGCCTGGAAACCGGGCATGGTGGTGCACGCCTGTAATCTCAGCACTGGGGAGGCTGAGACAGGAAGATCACTAAGAGTCTGAGCTGTGTAGTGAGACTCTGTACCAAACAAATAAGTAAATAAGTAAGTAAGTAAATAAATAAAAGATTAAAAATGTTTAGGGCTGGCCAAATAGCTCAGCAGAGTAAAGTGCCGCAAGCAGGAGCAGGGACAGATGTTCAATGTCCGGGCCTGCTGGCCCCGCACCCGGAGCTCACTGAGAAGGCAATTGAGACTGGGCATGGTGGTGCATGCCTGTAATCCCAGCTTGTGGCAGGCTGTAAACAGGCAGATCACTACAAGTCAGATCTAGTAGTGAGACCCTGAACATCCTGTAGACCCTTCCCTAAAATACAAAAAAAAAAATCTGGTAATTTTTGCTACAAATTATTATAGTATTATAAATACCACCAATGAATAAATAGATATAAGAGATAAGACCCTAAAATATTGTTCAGACCCCTGATGGTCAAAGCAATGGTACCCTTATAGCTCTATTACATTGAAGGGAAAAGGTGACATTAAGGAGACGTAGAAGTGGAGACAGCACATTGTTAATGAGAACACTTTTGGAGGCAGAATTGATAGTCTGCACTGCAGCATACAAGTTTTCTAATTATTCAATCCAAGGAATCCCATTTCTGGCTATCTGATCTAAGAACATAATCTCAAGCATAGAGAAAGCCCTATATAGAAAGTCATTTTTTTTTTTGAAGTGCTGTGATCTGTGTTTTGAACTGCCTAGCACAGTTCTGCTGGAGCTCGGCGAGAGGGGTAAGTGCCACTCTGAGCGGTGATGCCTGTGACCTTAGAAGGGTGTCTGTTAAACCACTGTCTCGGAGTAGCAGTAACAACAAAGCTGCTGCTGACGGCAGCTGCGGTGGACTCCGCGCAGCTTCTACTCGGTTTGTTTTCTTCTCTTCCTAAAGTTAGGCAACGCCCTATTTCACAAATATGCAAATATAATCTTTGATGTGTGACAGGTTTTGTTATGTTAGGCTGTTACCTGTCTACCTTTTCCACTTAACTGATAATTTTATAATTTATCCTTGTCATCCTTTAACTGTTTATTAAAATTGTATTTAAAACAGTGTCATAATATGTCTTGGATGTTTAAATTGATGCTGAGATGAGTTTGTTTGCTCTTATCCTTCTGGTCAATTATAATAATAAAACTCAATCTTACCATTATTATTTTTTTTTGGTACTGGGAATCAAATTCAGGACCTTGTTCTTGACAGGCAGGCACTATGCCGCTGAGCTCTATCTCCAGCCCGATAAACCTCCATCTTGAATATAGTTTCTATACTTGATAGCAGTGTGGTAAAGCACAACTTAAATTATTTCAGCTGTAAGACTTTTCTGGGTGACATAGTTTTCTCCCTTCTCTCATCTGGATAACTAACTCTTGCTGCTTCAAAACTCTCACTGCAGGGGCTGAGGAGATAGCTCCGTGGCTCAGTGGAATAAGTGCTTGCCTGGCAAGTGCAAGATCCTGAGTTCGATTCTTGGTACCACCACCAAAAAAAAAAAAAAAAAAAAAAAAAAAAGCCCTGTCATTGAAGGTGGCCTTTCGTTCAAGAAATCCCCTTTCAGTTCCTTAGAGGAGGATGACTACTCCTGCCACATAACTGCTCTGCCATACCCTTATTTCTCCTGTGAGTGCAGCACAGATGATGATTACGTGTCATGCTGTCATTTTATCTGTGGCTCGTGCACAGCGGGAGGGACTCTGTATTTTTATACATGATTCACTGAAAAAAAATTACAACTAGGTCTGTTGCGTTGATGGACTGCTTATCTTGTAAAAGTATGAAAGATACCGATTCTAATTATTTTATTTTTAAATTGAAGCAGGGCGGGACTCCTAGGTCAGGGGCAGTCCGGAATCCCCGTCCGCCTGTGTAAGTCATCTTTCTTTCCATTCGGAGTGTTCAGTGGCCAAATGGTTACCGTCCCTTGCAAGTTAAAAAACAAAGCAAAGCTACACAGTATAAGTGGCTAGAAGTTTGAATTGTACTAAGGTGCATACAGAGAACTTGAATATTGCCATGCCAAAATTAAGATAGTTCCTGTCCTAGAGTGGTAAGATTGGAAGAAAACTGCTCTGCTTTTACTTTCTTTAATATTGTTCTCACTTTTTTTTTTTTTTTGTGGTACTGGGGACTGAACTCAGGACCCTGCACTTGCCAGGCAAGCACTTTTCCTACTGAGCTATCTGCCCAGCCCTCTCACATTTTAATGAATAAGTTAAAATATTTTTGTGTTTTTATTAGTATATATTTGTGACACATAGTAATTACATTCATCTTGAGGAATTGGAAAATGCACACATCGTTTTTATTTTCACTGTCCCCCTCCTGCGTCCCAGCGCCCCTCTCCATCTCCATGAAGTCTACAACCCTGTTTCCTACCATCTCTCTTTCGTTTTTCTCTTTCAGTTATTTCTCTCGTATTAGAGAAACCATGTGACATTTGGCCTTCTGTACCTGATTAATGTCCTTACGGCCTTGAGATCTATGTGAAATATTTTAAATTAGAAAATATATTTTTATTGTGCATTTTAAACATTCAAATTTACTTTTTGGCTGATTCATAAAGACATAAAGGTACATACTTATGAAGTGCTATGTTATGTTTTGACGTGTGAACCTTGTGTTGTGTGTAAATCTGGGTAAACATGTCTATCTCTTTACTAAATGCACTTATGAAAGAATTATATATGATTTTTCTTTTTATAATTGGTATGGTAAAATTAATTTAATAGTACATATACCTGTGTTTTATTCTTATCTTGAGACATATGATATTAAAATAAATCTCATTAAATTTTATTCTTTATTCAGAATGTATTAATTTATGCTTTATGTTTTCCACTTTTGAGGACTTGAAAAGTGTAATATACTTCAAGTATTTTAGACTACTGGGCTTCTTAGGAAGTAGAAATTAAAAACAGTAATTTGCTCTGCTAAACCATAGGCAATGTCATTTTTGTGGATTAAATATTAGCAAACACAAATAATTCTATGTATGCCTGTAGGCCTCAAGAATAGAGACATGCTTAATTTCTAGAGATAAGTATGTAACAAGGACTGTGTCAATTGCATTTTGGTAGATGTTTAATAACCAGTGTTCTGAAAATGTGTAAGTTTACTATAAAATTTTACTTGTTAATTATTAATAAATTGAAGTATGCTTTAAGATGACCAAAATTTTACTATTATAAATTTGTATGTGAGCAACAAATTTATAAGTGATAATAAAATATGCAGTCTTTTAAAAAGTCCATGGGACAGTTACCACTGAAGTTTCATTTTGTTTATTCTGAACTCTCTTTGTGGTGACCTACGGCTGCAGTAATGTCAGTGCTGTGCCGGTAGGAATATTTGATATTGTTATTTAATGGGAAATGGCATAAATGACTTCTCTGTGAAGTCAATAGTTTTGAATACTGTAATAATACACTGAAAAGTCTTCAGTATCTTGTGGACATTTCCATTGCTTGACACCTATAGACTTGTTGCATTTTTAAATTTAGCCTGCATTCTCAGCATTGTCTTCACTTACTTTTAGCTCTCAGAAGCAACGAAATAATAAAGCAGTTGTCAACTTCAGTGTAAATGATCTTCCTATGGCTGACTTCATATTATCTATGTAAAACAGGTATATGCCTATGTATGCCTGTACAGATACACTACAAATATCCTCTAAAACAAAGTGCACTTAAATCACCAAGAAAGGATGAATTCAGCAGATCTAGTACCTTTATTCTTAACATAATTTATTTCATCATAAATTTAGATGGTTTTATTTTTAATCATAGATGCATTTAACAACCAGCTTGAACATTACTGAATATTTAACAAAAGTCTATCACAAGTCAGTAGGACCCAGCACACCACTGACTTGTGGCTTTCTGTACATGATTTATAATTGCTAAAGTCCTACTGTAAAAATATTCACGAATACATCTATTATTTCTTCCAGGGTCCCGCCACTTGATTTGAGAAGCCTTGTTGGCTCTGATGATGAGGTAAATTTACTTAATATTTAATGAGGTACACTTTGCACTGTGCTATACTGAGTGTTCTTTAGCATGATTTTTCATGTAGTGCATAATCATTTTAATCATTTTAGCCCACCAAAGTCACCTGCTCTTGGCTGGGTTGTACCATGTCCAATACCATACACTCAACATAATCTAAATGAACTAGTTAGTATATATTAGTTTATTACTAAACTTTTGAAATTATAATATGCATTAGTAGTACTACCTTCAATCCAGGATTTCATTGTGTTTAGTCTATGCTTTGCCCAATTTAACATAAGAAAATTTGGAACATAATGGTGGTAAGATAACTTTGCTTTGTTTTACATTTTTTCAGACATAGGGATAGGAGTTTAAGAATTTCTTATACAATTGGTAAAATGAAAGGTCAGGGAGACAGCTCAGTAGAATAAGCGCTTGCCTAGCAAGCGCAGGGTCCTGAGTTCAATCCCCGGTAAAAAACAAACAAACAACAACAATGACAAAAAACCCAAAATCAAACAAAACAGCAGCAACAACAACAACAACAACAACAACAACAACAAAAACCCTATTCATTGGTAAAATGTAGGTAAATTATAATATGGAATCTAGGAATTTTAAAAGTATGGCAAAACTTTAGATCAGATTAGTTCTAGTTATAAACTTTATTTCTCAGAAATAGACTCAGATTTCAGGCTACTAATCAGAATGCTACGGAGTAGATAAGTAACTGCATTTAATTCAGTATATTTCCTTGGAAGGTGTCTGCACTAGTATAATGCTGAGTAGAGCTTGATTTCCTGTCTCTGTAAATCTTTGCCCTGCATCTGATTGTGTTTCTGTTCTGAGGTTCTTTCTTTTTTTAATTTTTATTTATTTATTTGTCCTGTCAGAGGTGAATATTCTATTGACATCTAAATACTATAAGTGTTTGAATTCAACTAAACATCTAATACTGTCTAGCAGTCTATAATATTAGTGGGTTATCCTCAGAAGTTATTGACTTGAGCCTTTTACAACTCATCGTATTAATGTGGATTTACTTTATATACCTCATTTTTATACTTTTCTACTGGATGGTTTAGACCAAGATATAGCAAGACCTATATACCCAGAATTGTAACTTTTGTATCTGCTGAGGTTCATTTTGGAAAATTTCACAAATAATGCCCCACACTCTGTATTGCAGTTTTTCTCCCTGAAGCTTTGTCTCATCCTTTTTCTTGGATTCGACCTGAATATCCTACACATTTTTCAGTGCTTGGGCTGGCTGTGCCTGGAGTGTCTCTCTTTGGGGTAATATGGGTGTATTTTGTATTTGCTTAGTACTTACTTTAGATTTCTCCTATCCACTCTCTCTGTTATATCTCACACCAATGGAAATGTGCCAGGGAATTAAAATATCGTAATATTTCAGAAATGACAAGAAGTGTTTCTCCACATTAGTGACCTCCACTTCCTACAATCATTTTAGAAGAGATGACTGACAGTGAAGTTCTGGCACAGGGAAACAAAACCCACATAGACCATTTAAGGAGAATGTAAAGTTTATTTTTTTCCTCAAATTCTTTTGGAACAAGGACTGATCTTCAACTGAGAAACAAAACGTAGGACGATTGCTGTTTATGGTCCAGAGCCCATGCTGAGTAGCCCTGTCTCTTCTGATTGATTTGTCACACTGTACCAGCAAACACTTTTAAATATCACCTTTATTTAGAACACAGATTGTAGTGGCCTGTTTCTTAGGCACAAATACCAAGGCAATTGGAAAGCCATTAATGTAGTAAGGAAAATTGATTCTTATTTCTCTTGCTTCTGGTGGACACCATACTTCTTCTTTTTACCTGTAGGAACAGGAAAATTTGCCAGCACCAACCAGCAAACATGAGCTAAAATATGAACAGTCTAAAACTGAAATGAAAGAGGGTCACATACAGGATAATCAGAGAAATGGAGGAAAGAGAAAATCAAATATCACACATCAACAGTCTCCAAGAAACAGCATAGACGAACAGGTAACCTTTGAGGGTTTGTAAAACTTTAATGGAACTGAAAGCCAATGGGGGCTGTTTAAAGTGTCTTACATGAGCTGGTTGGCTGTTCACAGCAGACCTAAAGGAATATTATCACCATTTTCACATGTGGACACCCCAGCCATATGAACGAGTCCTCTGCTAGTGGCTTTTCTCTTGCCCAGACAGTAGAAATAATACAGCATCACATATGTTTCTGACACAGTTGTCATGAGCTCTGTTGGATGACGGTCTAAATTCTAAAGTTGCAAAGGTGATAACAGTTCTTACGGTGACCTGCTTTATTCTAAAACTGTCATTGTTTCCTGTTTTTCTTTTGACTTATTTTCAGAAAAAATTTCAACTTTTCAAGTTGCTGAAATTATTAATCTTATATTTAGTATTAATTAGATGAAACTTCAACATTTATGGTTATAAGAGCAAATTCAACACAAGTTTAATGGCATTTCATAAACGTACAGGACAAGGTAATTTTGATTTTTGGAAAAAGTGTTAGGAAATAGTTCATAAAGTCAGATGCTGGCTGAACTCTGGAAGTGGGGCTAAGAAGATTTGATAAAAGGTTGAATGTAAGTATAAGAGGTAGAGAAGAATGAGGGTGATCCTACAGAGGTGAAGCTGCGGCATTATATGGATTGAAATCAGCCAGGCGCAGAGAGACACGTACGCTCTCTCTCAGTCTGTATACGGGCGCTTAATGTGCGCTTCTGGGAAATTGCGACATTGTGCCTCTAGTTACTAGTACGGTGTTTTGTACTTGAAATTTGATAAGAGATCAAATTTTAAGTAACTTTGTGCCCTGGCCCCCATGCAGGGTTACTCTGTACTGATGGATGAGTTATTTGTTTCTTTTTTTTTTTTTTTTTTTCAGAACTGGGGATTGAACTCAGGCCCTTGCTCTTGCCAGGCAAGCACTTATTCTACTGAACTATATCCCCATCCCCTTGGATAAGTTATTTGGGAATTATTATACAATGTATATGT